GGAAGCTGCTGTGGCTCTGCGCAACCACCCGCGTGGCTCGACGCCTCCCTAAATCCAAAACGAACCCCCAGCTTGAGGCCAAGTCCTGCTCCGAGCTCTGTTCCCGCCAGACGAGGGCCGGAACAGGGATCCCTACAGGAGAGGGTGAGCGGCAGTTTGGACCCCCTACGGGCCATCACCCCTTTTATTACGGGCTCCTTTGAATTCACCCGCCGCCGTTCCGGCGCACGCCTAAAACCACGGTGCCGAACCACTCGCCGGCGACGCCAGGGGAGCCGAAGCGGGCAAAGCAAACACCGCGAGTGCCCACGGATCACCAACACTGCCCACACACGCAGGGGCAGGCGTGCTGCACGCACAGAACGACATCGCGGCCGGCTCATCCAGCTTCCAAGAATTAACTCCTACCTCCTCTGCCCGGAGAAAACACGGAGCAGAGCAACACGTCCTTCGTACGGGCAGAAGGCGGCCTCCTGCCCGCACTCCAGAGCTGCCTCGCACTCAGCTCGTTAAGACGCTGTATTTTTACGCGTCAAACCAGCCCTGGGCTGCACAGCACTTTCCACCTCTCGTTCTGCTGGCACCATCGGGCCTGTCTACTCGCCTCGGCCCTCAGACCAAGGCTCTGCTCACACGCATTTCTCCAGCCACAGCGGCGCGAGGTGACCGACGGTTCCGTGACCTAAACCTCAAGAGATGCTTATGAAAGCAGCCGGTCGCTTTCTTCTCCTTGCTCCAGTTTTCTGTCCCTCGGGAAGGACTCTAACGCTCCCCAGAAGAGACTCTAATTCTGCAAAGAGATAATTATACCTGGATGACCTCTCGCAGGGATGCTCAACTAGAACTCGGTCCTCGGCTTGGCACTCGGCCACGTACCCCTCTCCCAGCCAGCCGGCTGCTGCGGACCGAGCGTACACGGATTTGCCAATCCCAGACAGGCCTTGGCTAGTGCCCGCCAAATCCCAGTGCCAGGAAATCAGCTGATAACCAGAGGAAAGTTCCCTCCTGCCCCCGAGTAGGACATTACAGACGCCCAACCACGTTTTCCTTACCTGCCAAGGGAGCACAAAGCTCCTGGTGTGCTGGATTCCCGGCACGGCAGCTGGTCTCACCACGATCCGCACCGCGTGCGGGCGGAAGAGCTTCAGCTTCACTCACCATTCCCCGTTCCCGACACAACGCAGAGGGAGCGAGAGGATCGAGTTTTACGTCCTTACCAGCCCTAATTCAACTCACCTACGCTGGAATGTTTGTATTTCCCTCTTTTCTCCCCCGTTTTGCCCCCTCTAACCACCCCGACCGCACCTCCTCGGCGGC